TGGTGGTCCAACGCTGAATCCCACAGCTGCCCCGTTCCTACTCCCTCTGGACCAGCGAGGGTGATCCCAGTCTACACCCCAGAGGTCCTATTGCACATCTTGCAAATCTCGACAGTGGTGACATCAGGCTCAATAGAGCCAAAGTGATCCTGCAATGGTGGACACCACTTGTAGCTCCCAGTAGCCACATTGCTGATACTCTCACCAAGCTGAATGCAATATTTGAGGTGTTCTGGAGCAGGCTATATGAGTAAGGGAACTCACAGAAAAATCAAGAGCAGACGGGAAGACCGTCCCAATGGCTACCACCCAGAGCGATGAAGATGAAGGCAACTGCAGGGGTCAGACATGAACAACGGAAATTGCCACGCTCCCTAATGCCCAGGACCACAGCCAGACACTCCTCGAGCCTTGGTCCTAGGAGAATACACCTGGGACTTTATGCACCTACAGGGAAGCTGATGAGGTCCTTCTGCACACTACACTACCTAACCCTCCTCCACAAGGTGGCATCTCCCTAACACCTAACCTAACCCTCCCCTTCTCCAGTGGAGTGATCTGTTATGTCTAGGGTTCTGGAGAGAAGACGAGCTGCCCTCAGAGGGCATAGGCTGAGTTGCAAAGCTTTACACTCACCACCTGCTCAGTGTTTCATATGTTCTTTGATCATTATTTTGCCATGGTGTTTTATTTTATTTCTTTTGTGCTATTTGCTCTATTTTTATGTCTTGGCGTTACGCTAATCATTGGACCGCCACTAAATAGACACAGGGCCTCTTGGGCGTGCACAAGCATGACAACTTAACATAAAGCAGTTTCCTGTCCTCATGTTCATGTGCCTTTGCACTGTCTGACTATCTTGATATTATTTCATGATTAACAACACAAAATAAGTGCTGTAAACCTGCATGTCGAGCCTGTTTATTATATTGTAAAAATGTGCAGTTGTATCAAATGTCTTAACATTGTCTATTACGAAACGCTTCCATTAGCTATCGTGGCATTGTGAGTTTATTATAATCTTTTGCACTACAAAAATAAATAATAAAATTAAAAAAATAATAATTGGAGGTAGACAGATAGCCCCGTGGGGCAGTGATTGCATCCATATAAAAAAGGGGGCCCACGACACCCACCCAATGGCAAGCAATGGCCAGCACATTTCTTAACGTGAGCTAGATTTCAATTATGTCCTACAGATCTTGACACTCAAACTTTTCACATGAATATGGCAGGCCCTTCTGCTTAATACTTGCATGTCATCAGTGGGAGAGTTGTTTCCTCTCCTTACCCACTCTTACTTATTCAACCAAACACTCCTGGCAAAATGTATCCCTTCCATACCACATTTATTTTCCATAATTCTTCCAACTGTGATCATATTAACCTTCCCCTAATCTTCTCATTTATCCAAAACAAGCCATTAGTTAGTTTACCCCCATGCCTGATCTCTTCGTATATATCCCCCAACACCCAAGGAGGAGAGAGACCCAGTCCAGCCAGCTCCACACTTCTATCAGCCTCAGCCAGTAGGGCCCTGGGAAGCCTGCACATAAAAGGTATGTTAGTAGAAGGGTGGCTGAAAATATAACACTTATGAAGTGTGTGTGTGTGTGTGTGTGTGTATGTGTCAGTGTGTTTATCTATGTGTGTGTGTATCTGTGCGTAACTCAGTTTGTGTATGCATCAGTGCTTGTGTGTGTCAATATGTCAGTGTGTATATCTGTGTCTGTGTGTTTATATATGTGTATCTGTGTATGGCTCTATGTGTCATTGTGTATCTGCGCTCCTACTGCCCAACCTTGTGCATAGAGACGTGTGAGTGGCAGAGTCAGATATGCTGCATTCAAGAAAGAAGTCTGACTGGCCAGTGGGTAGCACCAGTGACTGCTGAGGTTCAGGGACAGCCAAGGAGGTGGCCTGCTGCAAATTAAGCTACTTCCTGTTCCCCCTGGGTGTTGGTTTTGGTGAACAGCCTCCAGAGAGCCTGTTCTACACCAGACCGAGGAGCCAGACTGCAGCAAAAGATCATCATTTTGCCTTCATCTGGTGGTAAGTAGACAATCTAGTATAGTATTAGTACCACTAATCTCTAATTTACCTCACATTAAAGGGACACTATAGTCACCAGATCCACTACAGCTTAATGCAGTTGTCCTGGTGAATATAGCCTTTCCCTATAATCACTGGTGCCTAGGGTCACTCAGACTGCCACTAGAGATGCTTCCTGTTTGGTGCTACACTATGTGGAGCACTGGCATAATGCGTCTCCATGCTCTGCATGGAGGAGCTAAACGTTCCCCTTAGAGATGCATTGATTCAATTCATCTCTATCAGTCTATGCTGATTGGTGCAGTGTTTTGCAGCACATGCACGATAGCCTCCTAATGCTTTTCTATAGGAAAGCATTGGATTGGCGGAGATCTTCAAGATGAAGAGAGGGGCCAGACACCTAGTTATTTTTGCACTATAGTGTCAGGGATACATGATTGGGTTCCTGACACTATAGTGTTTCTTTAAGCTTCTCCCCACCACCACTACATTAACCAACGTGCTCAGGCTCAGCTAACGCAGAGATCTTCTGACTATTTGGCTAATGTAGTGAAGGCAGGGCCAGGTAAGGAGTCAAACTGTTCGAATATGGTTTAACTACTTACATTGGTGATAGTGGAGGGCACCACTGTGCACTGTAGTGGTAATGGTGCTTTAAATGTTTCTTTAGTGAAATGTACAATTTGAGCCATGTTTTAACAGGTTTATTTATAAAAGTGTGAATTTTGGGGAAATCAAAGTAATTTCACAATATCTAAATGGGGGGAAACATCCCAATTCAACCAGTTGCAAGTTTGGCTATTTTGACCTTAAAGGGAGACAATAGGCACCGGTACCACTGTAACTGGTTTCTTTAGCAATAGCAAGTTATTACCTACTATTCTAAACAGGAGTAATTGCAACATATTACACTTTTGATTAATTAAGTGTTGGAAAAAAATAAATAAATAAATAAAAGAGGGTGGGACATATGCAATGTCATGATGGGCAGATCATATGGGTGGGGTATCGTGAGGTCACATCGTGGGCAGAGCATATGGGGGGAGGGGGGGGGACAGCAAAAAATGTTTTTGCCTACAGCAGCTAAAATCCTTGCACCGGCCCTGATCTTTTCCATATCCCACATCTCCCTTACTTCAGCTCTTATCTCATGTCCTTCCACCTCATTACTGCTCCCATTTCCCAGCTCTGTTGACTTGTTTCTCTCACCCACTTAAATCCCATCCCTTATTTCTTATCAAATACAACATGTGCTATCTTCACCCACTCTGTCGCTCCCTCAATCTCCTCATCACCTACAGGGATCAAGCTGCCTGTCCTTTGGATTGCAAGGAGAGAATACACTGTTCTTGAGCAGAAATAGGTTTATTACACATTTTTTATTGTATTTGTTCTATTGCCGCTTCTCACACCATTCCACCACAAGGAGCAGTGATTGTGCTGCACACAATCCCTGCCAACAGTGCAAAATGAATAATCTGGAAAGGTTTTTTTTTTTCCCCCTTGGATCTTGGTGTTGCCTGGAACTACAATGGAGGTAGTGGTAAAACAAAATGTATACATTGATTGAAACGGCCAACTGCCATACCAGCAGAATGTGCCCTAGAACACCACTTTTCAAGTACTTCATGTATGGCAGTTCACTTTATTTTCATGCCATAATTTCAACAGCATGTGTAATCAGTTCATTTGCAATTCAGCCACTTCAACTTCTGTCACTTGGTCTGGTTGGACGCAGTGCAGGGAAAACTTCAGAAAGTGGAACTGTCGGGCATAACAGATTTAAAATTGGAGTGGAAGAGGCAAACAAGCAAGTTCTTCTTAATATAAATTAGCAATGTTGACAAAGTCTCCAGCTTTTTATAGAGTCAGGTTTCTTCCAGTTTGTGTCTAGCATCACTGTGGTTAACACTTGCCATAGCATCTACAGTGAATGTCTCACCTGATCATTTGTTTACACTTCACAAAAATCTATTTTTCTGACATTTTACAGTTTCTACTAACTTCTCAGCTTTGAGCTTTTTCCGCCATCTTATACCACCTCAGCCAAGAGTAAAACTACGGTTTAAGTTAAATTATTAGGTTGAAAAAAAAAAAATAAAAAAATTAAAAAAAAAAAGACTAAAAAAAAGTTCCTCAGGATAAACCTTAAAACCCATTATTTTGCTATTAATCCAAAAGATGCCCCCCAAAAATAAAAAATAGCAGCCATTTCCAATTATGCCACAGAAACAGAACAAAATTCATCCATAATGGCAAACCAATTTCACATCAACAACCTGTTGACATACATATCAGTTATATCCTTCATATCCTTAAATATTCTGTTTATGCAAAAAAGCATCCAAGCCTTAAAAATAAAAAATAAAATCTGATAAGGTCACCTCTGTAGGTGGGGTGTGCCAAACTCAATGGGTGATCTCTTGTATATTCCTGTCAATGAACAAGTTGTCACATAGTGGTTTGTACTGACAGTAAATATTTATACAGTGTGGTTATATCCCCTATGAGACACCTTTTCTAAAGAAAACAAACTCAGTTTTTCTAGTCTTTTTTCTTAATGTTTTCAATCTCCCTTATTAAAAATTTGTAGCACACCTCTGCACTTTTTTTTTTTTTTTTAAGTCATGATCTAGCTTTTGCAAGTCACTCACACACAAATTTTTCAGGATTCTGCATTGCCTTACACACACACACACACACACAAATCTAAGAAGTTGAGTGTGCATGTTCAAGACGTGTGTGTCAGGTTAACATAGGAGTGCTGTGTGCCAGTACAAAAAAAAATAAAAAATGAAATAGTATCGAGAGCCAAGTGGCATCCTCCAATATGATACCAAGACTGGCTCTGCAGACTCAATCCAAATTAAGTTTGTCTGTCTGACAGACATAAAAAAAACAAAAAAACAAAAACAAAAAAATCAACCACATAAAAAGGAAGCGTGAAACAGATGTATAAAGAAATGCACATTTAGATTTAATTTACATCTTTGACAATTTGCACATAAATAACAATGTAAACCAATATGTAAACATAAGAATTTTGTTGTTCTAGCAATGTATAAAGCCTGTTAAACTTTGGTCAGATATTTTTCTTCTTCAGAAAAGAAAAGTAAAAAAAAATAAAATAAAATAATAAAATATATATATATATTAAAAAAAAGAAAAAAAAAAAAGAAACCACATTTGCTACATTCACATGTAATAGTATTCTACTTAAACACGCAACACTTCTTTTGTGTGATACATTAAAAATTCTTTGAAGTTAATACAAAAAAAGCACTACTGGCAACAAGTAATTGAAGCAAGTGTCCAGTTACAGTAGTGATACTTTGGTATATATTACATTAATACTTTAGTGCTTGCTACACAACTTCAGATCACACACACACCTTTAACACAAACTACGTACAAACATGGATTTATTAAAGCTGTTTTGTTGCTATTCCTGGTCATTTCAGCACTAGTGGAAGTAATGTCACCACGATCCTTTTTAGAAATTACTAAGCCACAAATGGGCTATAAGCCAACATTATTTCCATGTGCATATGTCTTGGGTTTTAAGTGTTTGAGAAGGTCTGCTTTGCTACATTAGAGTGCCAACACGAATCTTTGGGGTCAGAACGCAAAGCAAGGTTTAAAGCACTGGTGCAGTTTGTAAGCTGCACATATTTGGTTTCTCTGTTGAAGACACAAAGCATTTGGGGAACTAGCCTTTTTCTGCTCCACTGGACACAAGCAATGAGGTAAATTGTCGAACAACTTCGCAATGCCCTTAAAACTTAAGTTTTAAATTAAGAACAAATAAAATAAAATCAAAAAACACTAAATACTGAAGGAAATGACTCACAGGATAAAATAAAAATCAATCAGTAACAATACATATTACCAGTGTCTACTACTGGACAATTAGACTAAAGCCATTTAAGGGGAATCCCACCAAATAAAAAAATAAAAAATAAAAGGATTGTCTTGCTAATAATGGGCAACACTGAAAATGATTCCCCTTTCAAACAATTCTGAATATGTGATTACAATACGAAGCCCATTTCTTTCCTCTCACTTTTAGTTTTAATCTATGCTTCAGACCATATTAATGCATTTTTGGTACACTAAATGTAAATTCCATATACATGTGCTATTTGGGGATTGGTCTATCTCAAGCACCAAACAAAAAGCGCTATTAGATCCTTTTCCCATTATATTTTTTTTCCAGTTTTTATGGAGAGGATCATCCAGTAAGTTAAACCACTGCGAGATCATTTACATTTTAAAGAAAACAAAATATAAAATACATAAGTAAATAAACAGGAAAAAAAAAAAAATGTCCAGCTTTGGCAACAATATGTTGTTCATTGGTTTGGAAATTCTAAACTTTTGTCTTTAAACATTTCTTAAGTTAAGAACCAAAAACAAAGAAACCTGCCGAGAATATCTACATTTCAATGGCCACATGAAAATTATGTACATTAACATATATGCATCTTTATAGACAAATTACAATGAGATTTTTTTCCTGTCATTGTAAACATTAGGTAATTATTGCTTTTCGAATGATACATTGCATAATAAATTATGTACTTTTTTAAAATGACAAATAATTATGGATAAATGATTGTCTTTTAATAATATTAAGTGAAAAGGGATATTCGGGTCCCCCGTTTGTCTTTTGCCCTGAGAATACAGGAGTTCATTCTTGGTGATCAGGTTAATCTAAGAGACGTCGAAATTTCAAGGTTCTATGCGGCAGTGCAACAAATAAAAAAAAAACAAAAAAAACAAACACAACGGACTACAAACTGCGGCGATCCTTGACGTCCAATGAATAACACTTGTTCTGTCGGTTAAGAGTCTGTTTGATCAATGGATTCCTGTTTAACCTTGATTGGCAACATGAAGCTGCCACAAAGCTCGTTATTGCCCTTAATCACCTTATCTGAATGTTCATAAAAGTTACGACAAGACATGTGAAGACCATTTCCGGTGTTCCTTGCTATACTTGCACCTTCGATCTCTCTCCTAAGAAGAGACATCATTTCATTCTCCAGAGTAGACAACATGTCCATATCTTCCATGTCATCTAATCTGTCTGCACTGTCACTGATATCAAACTTCTCAATCTCTTCATTGAGACGAGTAAGTTCTTCTCTGGTTAAGCCAGACCTTGGAGATAAGGGACAAATTAATTTCATGTGCAAATTGAGGCTGCATAAGTGGATGTAACTCTTCTGACAATGAATACACTTATGAGGCCGTTCTCTTGTGTGAAGACGTTTGTGGAGTTTGAGATGAACAAACTGAGTAAATTTTGCAGGGCACAGCTTGCACTGGTAGGGTTTCTCCCCAGAATGGAGCCGCAAATGAGTTTTTAAATTGCTTGTGCTGCTGAACCGTTTATGACATACCTGTACATCAAAAAGAGAAGAAAAAACAAAAAAAACAATGTTTATTATAAGTTTGTCACCATTGTTCAAGCCCTTCATCCCATCTGTGTCAGCCTCAATTAGAAAACAGCTTTGACAATAGAAAACCAATTTCAATACCATAACCTGCAATGTCTGCAGAGGTTTGTGTGAGGTTTTGACCATGTTCATACTTAAATTAAAACCTTATGAGCCTTAAGAACTATAATTAATAGGAGAACTGAAAGTTTATGCCAGTGGAATACTTGGAAAAAGATCTCCAACAAATCATTTAGCAATTATTTTAGTCCTCTGTCATCTAAACATTTTAAAACTTAAAAGCGTGTGTCACATATCCAGAAATATAAACAAACAATTTCTTAACACAATCTAATTTTACAGAGGACAGAGCTCCTTTCATACATCCTCGAGGAGTAAACTTACAACAAACCGATTTAGAGGATATACTGACTAACAGAACCAGTTTGCATACATATGAACCATTAGTTTTTTAACCAATTATAAAATGGCATATAGGTCAAGGAAAGAAATATATACAAATATTTAGTATACTTTCAAATCTACACACCTGACATTCATGAGGCTTCTCCCCTGTGTGTACCAAAAAGTGCTTCTGTAGATGTGCCAGTTGTGTGAATCCTTTGTTGCAGGTCTGGCATTTGAATGGCCGCTCACCACTGTGTACCCGAAGATGCACCTATGAAAAAAATTAAAATGAAAAAACAAAAATTAGCAAGAATAAGAAAGAGGACCATCAGTAACAAACATTATACACAAGCAGAACTCTGACCAAACTTGTAATGTACCAAGTTGTTTTTCGAAGGTAACTACCTTAAGATTTGAGAGTTGTCCAAATGTCTTTGTGCAAACATTACACTCATATTTAATCTTGCCATTCTGCTTCTTCAATGGGTATGGAAGAGTCTTATAACCTGTCATGGTTCTCTTGCTCTTAATGAGATTGATGGCTTCTTCGGTGCTTGTGGTCATCACAGCTGAGGTAGATTTTGGTTGCATTACATGCTCAGTGGCCGCTGTGCCAGCAGTAGGTGACCCACTTGTTGGACTTATTTGCTTGTCCCTCATGCTAGCAGCAGCTCCTGTTATTGAGAAGGCACTATTGGGTGCAGGGATAAGAAAGTCTCGTGGCTGTTCAGGTTGTATTAGTCTACGACTGCCTTCATGAACCAAAGAACCTGGGAGGCTAGCCTGATTAAGCATGTGATGAGACAGATTTCCACCACCGATTATATTGCTGTAAACAGGGTACATTCTCGGAAGGAGATTGAAATTATTCATGGCATTAATGTTGTTTAATGCATTTAAGCCATTGCAACCAATGCTGTAGGAAGGTAACAAGAACTTTGGATATGAAGAGTTATAGGGTGGTAAAAATGTCTGTGGAAGATGACTGGTTGGAGAAGGATAACCATGTAGGGATCCCATTGCTTCGGTGAAATACGGTCTGTTCAAGAACGGATACAATTCTCTGTGTTCTTGTGACAAATGTGGAGGTGAAACTGAAGACCCAGGGCTGCTGTGTGGACTGGAGCTTTTATAGCTTTGATCTGGACTGCCTCTTGATGAAGGGCTTGGTGTTGTGGATGGCTGAGTTGGAGAATGCACATAATAATTGTTTCTCTCAAATGTGTACCCAAGAGAAGGCTTTAAGTAGTCTTCATGTACTTGACTCTGGAATGGATAGACAACACGTGGAATTAAAGGTTTCTCTGGGCTACAGTTTTTACGTAAGTCCACTGTATCTTTTCCTGGAGAAACTGCAACAATATTGTTCAGAGGAAAATTCTTTGATTTTGGTTGGTGTGGTGTGTCTTTGAGAATCTCTTCCACACTGTGCTCCTTTTTAGGGGTGCTCTTTTTGATGCCCACTTTATTGGACATTTGATCCTCCGTGATAGAAAGACTTTGCTCTGCAGAAACAAAAACATGATTTAGTCTACATGTAATAGTAATTTGAGGAGATTTCTACAAGATAAGTGTCACCAATTAGTTATTTCACATTCTGCAACGATTCACATAACATACAAAAGTAATCATATTTTCAAATAAAGATATTAAAGAATAGTTCAATCAACAGTATTTTTCCTGAGAAGCAACTCAAGAAAAAGAGAGAGAGAAAAAAAAACAAACAAAACATGGTGACGTTAGGAAGATGTTCTGTATTCTGATTGAGAACATTCACTTTTTTTTTTTTTTTTTTTTTTTTAAAAGAGTGTTTTCCTGGCACTATAGTGGTCCTTTAAATTGTTTAAATCACAATAATAAAAAAAATATATAAAAAAGATGGAGATCCCTACTACCCAATACCAGCAGCAAATTGTGGGTTTGAGGTTTTTTTTTTATTTAAATTTGCTTACTTGAATCTTCATCGACTTAATTTGGAACACTCAAAAATAGAATACATTTTATACTCTACAGATCGAGCATCTCTGGAATTAAGTAGCATGGGACTGACATTCATTCGGATTGGAGCATAAATGAGAGAACTCCACCAAAATATTATATATTTTGGGTCTTCCTCAAGAGATAGATAGTATATATATATATATATATATATATATATATATCTATATCTATCTTGAGGAAGACCCAAACAGGTCGAAACGTCGATCAATGTGTTACAATATGTAACAAAATAAATAACTTTGAAATATTTAAAAAGACTGGAGAGTGCACCCTTTCTATTGAATATATATATATATTTTTTATCTCATGATAAAAAAAAAAGTACAATAATATGTTCAAACAGGTGAAAGTTATTTAGAAAAAAAAACACAAACAAAAAAACACATACAACAAAACCCCAGAGACCAAGAAACTGACAGTAAATGTGAGATGGGGAGATATGTCTGATAGAACAATAGATGTAAGCGGGCTTTCGTTTAATTTAAGAAAGGAAGTTAAGGTAGAAGTCTAGCGAACTTGCCTCAAACTTAAAGGAAAGAACACAGGTCTTTGGTTTATGTGGTGTCTGTTATCGTGTGAAAACATTTATCTTACTACTGAGAACAGGTACATTTTATCAAGTTTAAAAAAAGTCTACTGTGCTAAACTTTATTTTTTCAAAAGTCTTGGGGAGAGTCCTCATTGGGTAGTCCACTTACAGAAAGTAAAGCATCACTATGTCATTTTAAAACCTGCGGATTCTCTAACAAAAAATTTATTCTGATGAAATAGATACACCCATTTAATTAAGGGAATTATAATTAATAGTTTAGGCAGTGCCAACATTCTCAACATTCCATGTGACATAGGTACATAGCAGTCTACTTACGGAGATTTGTCAAAACATCATTGCACAGAGGATAATTAAGTCTCTTCGCAAAGTCCCGGGAGTACCACACTCGCAGTTCATGATCCGCTGGGATAGGCATAATGGTATAGAAATAAATATCCATGCCATTTTGACAGGCAGCCAGATTCTGCTTGTGAAGAGAGTGTGCTGGGTTGACATAGCGCATCCAGTTGCTTTTATCTTCATTGTACCCATCAATGTAGTGGTGAAACTCCCCATTTGAATAAATCTGTAGAAAACGTAACAAGGGCAGGGTTATTATTATTATTAGAATAGGAATAGAATGAAGCAATAGATTTTAATGAAAGATGAAATTAAATAGTTTGGATTTAAAAAAAAATAATAATATTTAGCATTTTGAGCAGGGTAAATCAGAAGCAATTAGAAATAACTAAAAGCATTAGAAACAAATCTTTTTCAATCACTTGTTTCTAGTGAAAGGTTTTGTTGCTAAAGGAATATGAAGCTTCTTAAAAAAAATGTATTTACTTCAACATGGAGAAAATGTGTTGTGCAGTTGAAAAAAAACCCCCCAAAAAAAACAGTCATAGCTTAGGCGTCTTCCAAGACTTGTAAAGGGAATATAAATCTAATAATTAAGAAAGAAAACCAAAACCAAGCAAAAAAAATCCCCCAAAGCATACAACCTGCTTCGTTTTAACAACCAGTGATATAACTGAAATACGTTTTTGCATTAAGCACCGATGCAAAATAAAGGTAATAATAAATCTCTTTACGAGGTCAAACTACAGCATTTCCCTCATCATCCCAATTCTTAATTGCACTCTCCAGAGTCCCCTCCTTCAGGACTCAAGGTAAAAATGAATCATATGAATACTTGGAATGCAGTCATATTGCAGAACAATGGGTGGAGAAAAGGTGAAGTCACCTACCATAGCAATGAGCAAAAGGTGGAGAAAGGCCAAAAGAGACAATCACTCTCAGCCAAACCCGTCACAAGACAAGTTCAGTCTTGTACAAATACACACCTACTACATACACATGTTAGTGTAAATTGTATAAACAAACAGCTTGTCTTGATCAAGAACAAGGGACATAAAACTGGTAATATACATACACATTATAAACACATAACCGATTTTAACAGGAGTGTGCTTCACCTACACTCCTATATGTACAGAAATTCTGTAACCTTCATGATGGGGATATAAAAAAAAAAAAAAAGGCAAAATTTGTCATTCTGACACGTATAGGGTTAATGGAGGCACAAAGCTCCTAACATTTCAGTGTAGCACATATATTACAAGGATCACAGAATATGCGTGAAAAGTGAACGTGACAAATGCAACTTGTCTAGCTGTTGCACCATTTTGAGACACTGAGCAAAAGACAACAATCACTTTCTTTTTTTTTTTTTTAAAGCAGCTTCCTGTAAATGTATAAAGGAGGAAGCACGACTGGCTCCTTCATCACATTGTGCACATAGTATTATACAATTTGTGTTGAAGAGAAGTCTGAAGAGTTGTGTTAGCCACGAGGTGTGTTGGTGTGTGTAGAGGGGTTTGTCCTTTGAGTCCCGAGACTTTCAGGAATACCAGGTGCATGTCACAAATTTTAGATCAGAAACTAGATGGTTACTAGATTCGCAGTGAGTTTTTGCATGTGGTTTAACCCTATAACTTCCAGGGCCGTAGTGGGGTTTCCAACTTCAAAGGGTTAATGAGAAAAGTGGTTCAATTTTGCGGTGGGGTCACATGTTTAAGAAGAAAGAAACTACCCCAAATCGTGAGATTTCCACGTACTTCAAACGCTGAGAGAATGTGCTGACTCACTGTACATTTACAAGAAATAATGTCACTTAAGGGGTTTGCTCAACCCCACACATCCTCTCGCTCGCTCTACATGAGCAAGACTAAGGGATCTTATTTGTAACCAGATGTTCCCAGCAATGCAAGCAAGCTCAGGATGCAAACTGTGTTAGATGGAAAAGGATTCACCACAGTTTCCTTTACCTGCTGTCTATATCTCATCACACTGTATCACAGAAAAGGAGAGGTGTTCATTCACGCTACAGCGATTTAGTGAATGCCACACAGAGGCAAAATACTTCTGAAGAATATATATTACTTGTATACCTATATTCTCTGCCACATATAGTAAAACTTAAGAATGTAGAAACATACAATATTATATATACACACATACATACAAAATAGAAATAACCACTATACATGTTCTTTCTATTTTATTTTAAAAATACTCACCCGCCAAAAGTAGTTTCTGTCTGCTTTCTCGGGAACGGTGTCAATTGTGTAACTTTCCCCAATATACGGGCCAAACCTTGTTCCTTTTGGAATATACTCTTTGCTAAAAACTCCGATCACCTTAAAAATAAAATAAAAAATGTTTATGGTTAATAGGAAAGGCAGTAATTGGGATATAAAAAAAAAATAAAAAATATTTATGACAGTAAACGGGTCATGTGAATTCAAATCATTTTTTCATTTTAAATACATACAGAGTAGGTAAAAAAGGAAACAAGTTCAAAGTAAGTAGGCTTATTAATTAATGTGGATGTATGCAATACAGGCTTGCTGTGATCCAGTATTGCAAGTACTTTCTACCAAGTTTTCCAAAACACAAGGGATCTTTGTAAAAGCATATTGAAATTCGTGAAATATTTGCCATTGGCACTTTGCACTTCTGGTCCAATAAGCCTGTTCTGAAAATGATCTGATCATCACTAAAATTGTTCAACAAGTACCTCCAAATTAAACAATCCACTATGTGGACTCAAGCAAAGTTCCACCAAATGATAAATTGCCAAACACTGCCTGTAACATCAAATCTGAAACGCCTTAAGACGCAATGTGATTAAACTGCTGTTGCTTTTGGCAAGGAGAATGAATTATGGATTTATAAATGTTACTATTCTTTAATGTACAATTATGTTCACCAGACTATCACTAAAGGGCTTCAAGTTAAACTGAAACAATCATGCAAACCACAAAGAAGAGTATTCAATGATTAATCCCCTTCTCAGACACCAGATTTTCCATCCAGAATCTTAGAATGTGATAGAAAGGGCATATTAAACTTCAACAAGTTAAAAAAGATGCAAAAATGCTCTTGCATGTTATCAGATTAAATTATATGCAAAAACGACCAACAGAGGGCGCTACAGACAGGCATATTTAAAATAAAACAAAATAGTCACGGCTTTGAACTCTGAAATTATCTTTCTAACCCGTGCAGCCTTATAGCAAAGATAAAAATTGTATATTATATATAAATATTAAATTATGCCAACGTAAAAAACAAATCTAAGTCTTCACTTATATATAAATGTTACTAGAACTAACAACAAATTAACCAAGGTGAAAACTGCAGACATCAATTCACATTTTCGATTTAAGTAGAAAAATAATGAAAACAGGGTAACAATCCGGGGAAATCGGGATTTATTGGAATCACAGAATGTTTCCGCAATCAAAAAGCATTAATCACGTAACCCTACATGACTAAGGCTTTTTGAGCGCCGAAACGTAATTTCACAGGGACTTTCTGCCTTCAAATAAATCCTTCCTATTTTGCCAGATTGCGTTGCCTGCTTCCATAATTTTTCTGCTAAATTCTAAGGGATTTGTGGTTCCCCTAAGCACCACCAGTAAGGAAAGGGCTAGTACTCCCTCCCTTAGGAGTTTCAATAATTTGTGGCAATGTATTTTGTGCATGTATTTGTATTCAGATGAACACAATTTACGTGAACTGTTACTGAACACCCCCTTAAACTTGTGACACAGCATGATACCATAACTATATTTCAGTTTTTACATGCAAAACTCATTACTCAACCTCCATAAAATGACACACGTAATAAAGTAAAGGATTAAACCGGAAATCCCACAATTTTAACAATTTGCTTTTTTGAAAAGGAAAAAATAAATATATAACTTAAAATACCAAATGATAATGAGGAGGTTTCATTATGAACAAAAGGGAGCATAATAATTATCCCAAAACTTGCTTACATATGTTGGATTTGAGAATACATAGTCTGCTTGCAAAGATCATTAGAAAGGGATAACGTAGCCATTGGACCAGTCCAAAGGTTCCAATAACTGATTGGTGGGTCAAGGCCTTTAGTATAAACAGTTCAGGAGAAGAGGCAGAGGGCTTTTAGCAAGTTCATACTGAAATCTTGCTTTTCAGAACCTACTCCATTCCTTTACAAGCATTGACCTTTGCCAAATTTGAATCAATCTTTGTCATTCTGCTCGGTCGCAGAGTGCTGCCTGACAACCAGTGGCATCGGAGACAAAAAACAGTAACCTACCTTTTGCTTAAATATAAGCAATTTGTGAAAAATGATAAGGGGGTAATGGATGGGTAAAAGAAAAGGAGGATTGGTCTTTTAGTCGTGATGTGCCAAGGATTTTTTTTTTATATTCCTCAACTATAAAGAATACCAGGTTATGGAGTGAAGATCTTTCAACTTAAAGTACACAATGGGTCCAAGAAAAACCATGGTAAAAGATATCACACGTAGAATGTTAAAGAGATGCTATGTACTTATATTAGAATTTGACAATTATCTCTCATGTATCAAATGTAGCAACTGAGGTTCAAAGGGACATCATAAACTCTGTCCAATATATGCAATGGTATTCACACCTACATGCAGTTTGGTTTTATCTGAACAAATACTCTAGATACTGGGCATCTCAGACCTTTGTGACAAAGTTGATATGAGAACATGTTTAAAAATCCAGGTCAATAATCTACCTAGGCAGGCATTACTTCTGACATAGCAAAGGGACTATGAAGTCTTTATAAGTCCTGATATAGTGTACAAAACAGGGTCAAAAGTTACTTTGCTGGAAATTTGTGGAATGCAGTAGCAAAGGATAGTCTCCGAACACTATGCAGGTGAGTGCCTATGTAGTATACCTTGCAATAATGGCCATATAAAAATGTAAACAGCTTGTTGCTCACCCAGGTGTACCACAAAGCCCTTACAAAAAAAAATAAAAAAATGTACAGAATGTACACAGTTGAAAATTTAGAAGTTACAGGTTCAGGTATCTGATTGGATATGGGGATAGAAAAAAAAAAAAAAAAGACCAAGTCATAGAAAGATCAAGTGTCAATTCTTGCCATTCCTTTAGCAAAGAAAATAATGCTAAATATTATATACATTTTACAATTGTCAAATTAACGGAATTTTCAGAAAACTTTAGAACAGGACTCTTCTGCAATGAAAAAAATAAATCCATTTTTAAAAAGTTTCCCCTTAATGAGAGTTTTTCCCACAGTTTCATAATTTGTTTGTTTTTATTTATTTTTTTAAAACTACACTAAATATGGTCCAGCTACTCTTCAAGCAGACTTTTTGTACAATGAAATGTACCAAACCCTTTAATTCTTCACGATAATGCAATGCACAAGGATCAATATTTGGGAAAAAATCCAACATTTAATAAAATTAACTATTACCCCTTTAAAGCAGACTCACCTTTTTGCTGACAGAATCATATTTGAAAAGGAGATTTCTGGGCAGGGATGCCTGTGCCTGCTTGAGCTGAGTCCCATCCAAGGAGCTGTCCCATTGGTGATCCTTCACTATGTAGGTGCATTTCTCTTCAAACTCAGCCTCTGTCCAGAGCGTCATATCAGCTCCCTCCATGTCCATTTTCATGGTTTACCAAGTCCCCTCCAGTCAAGCAGTACCAAAAAAAATTACTATTTGTTGTGTGGCAGCCTGGAAAAGGGGGAGAGGGAAATGTTAAAAATAAAATATATATATTTATCTATAAACTAATTTGGTCTTCAGTGCTGTGGTTTCTTGGGAGACCAGTGAATTCTATAACACTTTAAACAGAAGCTACAATGTATACAAATAAAGCAAAAAATAAAAAAAAATTAACTTTTTTTTTTTTAAATAAAATCTAGACAGCTTACAAAATAGATAAAAATAACTAAAATGCCTCAAAAACATTGTGTTAACATGGATAAGAGTCCATTATTAAGAATGATCTACCTTGCAGTACCTCTTATCTTTAGAAGATAGTGAAGTTGTTTCTTGCATGCTCCAAACTCTGTCTAAGCATGTCTGAGGCTGAGCTGTATTACTGACACCTTCCAAGCAGTTCCTTCAAAGGGACAAAACAACCAAAGGAAGAGGAAGGAGCTGATGTCTGGATCTGAATGAGTCTAAAAATGGAATTTGCATGCATGCTACAAGGAGCGGAACTCAGCCTGACTCTTCCAAATGTGGAAGCCTGAACTTTCCCACCAGCTTCCAGCTCACAAACAACTTCCAAAACAACCTAACCCCTTCTCTGACGTCTTCTTTTTCATCCTGCCGAGGGCAGAGAATATAAAACCCTACATCCTGCCAGCATCCCTTTTAGCAACAATATCTTAGATCACGGGACAGGGTCTTTCCTGAACTCCTTCATCCCAAGCGAGCTCACTGAGTCACAGCACCGAAGGAGTAAAGGGTCATAAAAACGTGCATTCTATGAATAAGGAAAATCTGCACATAGTCATCCAAGTAAGCCCCCCTAATACCCAGCAATCCTGATATACATAGTAACAGAGAGATCTAGCCTGAGTTACATCCCCCTATAGATCACTAGCTGCTGTCAAAGAGCAGACCCATTTAAATCAGCAATTAACGGTAACGGATTGCTTATACCAAGAAATTTAATATCAGACAAAAAAAAATAATAATAATATGTAAACATAAAATATACAGAATTTAAACAGGCTCTAGTGCTCATCCGAACTTAAATATTCCGCGAATTCAGACAGTTAAAAAAAAAACAAAAAAAAAATTATACAAAGAAGGACTTCAAACATGAGTGGGGAATTAAAAAGAAACCGAACTCACCACAAGAGAACTTTTGAAGTTTAAAAGCAAACCAAGAGTACTGAATAAAAAAAAACAAACAAAAAAAAAAACCAACAACTAAATGATTGTAGCAGTGTTCATGTCAAGTAAGAGTAAAGCAAATATTAAAATAATAAGAAAAAAAAAATTATTATATATAATAAATCTCACCCTAGCAGATTCCACACAATTTTCACAATAGATAACCAACATTAGAGCGAAATCCTTCGAATCGCAGACACACACAAATCATTTCCTTTCCAGGAGGGAACTTCAGAGACTAAGAGACTCCACACCTTGAGCTCTCCTCTCCAACATGATCTCTCTCATACTGACAGACAGGTGCTGCACGCTCTGCCTATGCAGCCAAGAGACTGAACACTTTAAGACCGAGCTAAGCAAGCTCACTGACTTGTTCCTTTCTCTTCCTGTTTCAAATGCTAATAATAGGAAATCTGATTCACTCATTACAGCCACAAGGGGAGGAGCCAAGATCTACCTGGAAATCTTGCTCAGCCACAGCAAGAGACACTATTGCTGCCAAATGTTACTCAGATATATGCATTGCATGAGAAAGCAACTTTCATTAGCATACATAAAAACACGGGCTATATTTATCTATAGCTATAAATCTTTCTATACAAAGTAGATCCATCTATAGTTCGATAGTAAAGAGAAAAAAAAAACCCAAAAACCTTAATCCCTTGGGCTGTTTCAAATTAAAAATGATGTTTTTTAAAAAAAAAAAACCAAACAAAAAAAAGGTTGTGAAGATTCTATTTGTCAATACCACCGCCCCCTAGAGACAGCTCACACTGCCCGGGGTTAGAGGATTTCAGGAGGTCGATGTGAAATTGTCTGGCTATTGAAGAGCAGTAAAAGAGTTAATCAGGTGAGGCTGACTCAACATTTACACATCGAAACAATGCAATCAAACAGAAGGTGGCTCTAGTTACACGGAGAAAGAAAACCAAAAACAGTTTTGGAGATGTATATGTGTCGAAAGCTTGTCAGTCCCTATTAACAACTCAGCACAAGCACGCTAAAGGAGACAGAAACAAAACAGACAAATACTCCAAACAAACAGAGCAACTGGGGTTTTCTTAACCAATGTGAAATCGTTTTAAAAGAAGCACAAAACTTCGGGCAATGTTAGTTTGTCAATGTAGGTTACCAAATCAGCGTACAATTAAGGATTTAAACTTAAAACTAAAACGTGGGGCCGGTTTTTATTTTGGTGTTCCGAAGAGATAACTGCAGCTTTGGCTGCCTTAAAATATGGCAGTAAATCGATTTTACAGGCAGATAAACTTTAATTCAATAGTCTAATATGTAAAAATCCAGGGGGCATGTTTATACATTCACAGTATAGCATAGTAAGAAATTAATTTAATATGCACATTTTTGGAAAGTAAATCTTTTTTTTTTTTTTTTTTGCAGCAGTTTCTTACTCAGTAGTTCTGCATTTTTTCTTCTATTATTTTCTGCTATTTTTTATTGAAAGTGCATTTGTTATTGAGAAACATGCCACCTCCCAGGGAACTTTATTTAAAAAAAAAAAAAAAACCCCACAGACATAAAAATAAAAACTTCATTAAAAAAGGGTGACGTGTAATATTTTAAGTAGGTAGTTCTATATACAGCTAAAAATACTACACTGTTTTAGAACATATTTAAAAATATCAGAATATAAAGCAATTAGGTTTAACATGAGAATTTGCATTAGACAACACTTTCTATGGTGCTTGCTAAAAAAAAAAAAACACAAGCCAGTCAAAACAATTTAACCATATTTTGTCTTCATATCACAAATACTCAAAACCTCAATTACTTAATCAGCAGTTACTGATTGTTGCCAGTTGATGATTAGCAATTAATCCTCAAGAGGCCCCAATTCCATTCAAAATATCTCCCTCTCCATGGGCAGACAACTCATTCCATACAGGATATTTATGCATGCTATAACGGTTTGGTGGTTGGATGATCCAAGAACACATACTCACCCAGTGTTATAGGTTTTTCTGCTTATGGAATAGGGAATTAAGACAAGCACACACATATTATACATGGCCCACAGCATCAAAAGTGTTAAAAAGATATGAGTGTTTTTCTCCTTGCCCCTTTCAATTAATAGTTGTCGCCTTATCTCTTTTTAAATGTTGCAATGTTTACTGTTCAAAATCCAGGGTAGATTTAAAAATGGAGTGCAGTGGGGGCTGGGAGAGGCACTATGGGACTCAAACCACTGTGTCCTTGCTTATCACTTTTACTATCAAACTGCCTATTGTTTTCCAATGAGTCTCATTGCAGAAGGTGGAGAACAAAGTTAATATTGAATAGGTATCTTCCAAATCGGCTCAAGGAATAGAACTGTTGAAAGAACAGCAGCTCTGAGCCCTCTACCAACTTACTCCATTAAACCAAAATTAGATTTAAGAGTACAAGGGTGAGACACATAAGCAAAGGGGGGCCTTTTCCATCAATCCCCCAAAGCAACTCTTCTTGAAGAAAGATATTGTTCTTAGAAGAGATAATCCTACAATGGAGAGTCCATTAGGGGTATTAGGAGGTTGGCAGAAGCTGTGATCTGCAAGAAGGCCCCTGTGCGGACAATAGACAATTAAAGCTGATAAATCTGCACTTCTTGTTGTTCTAATTCCTCATAATTGTATGCTGCTGTCTTGCCTCACGAGATGAAGCATGTTTCGTATAATCTCTCCCAGTACATGACCTACTTCCTGACATGATCTTTTCAGGACCTGTCTTCTCACCCATCTGGACCTTTGCCTAACGCTTCTGTCCCTCCGATGCCCACCCCAGCATGTAAAGACAAAAAAAAAAAGCAACGAGTGCCAGGACAAACGCAAGACACCTCCAGATCAATACTCCGCAGCACCAGACAAAAACTGTACACTAATCTGCAATAACAGCTAATCACGGTCAATTTGGCTCACCAGTGATTAAACTGTACTTTTCATTAAGGCGCAAGGAACAAGGCAGACACAGACGCACAACAGACTAGGAAGCATTTGAATGGGATTTAACACTACAATGCACAAGGCTACCTACACTCAAGCGCATTTTAAAAGGGAATAGCATGCATGAATATCAAAACATTAACTAGCAGCCAACCTCTTTAGTTAAGAGAATATTTTCTGTACAGTTCACAGACTTGCTTTTTTTATTACACAAAAAAAAAACAACCCCCATTAAATTCCAAACTTTCGAACAGAATCGAGGAGTTGGGAACTTTAAAAATAAGTGACAAAATACTATTCTAGAACCATAACAATCAGAACGCATATAATACAAAAACTACAAAACTTCTAGATACATTGAGTAAAACAAATTAACCCCCTCAATTCCAAGCTGAAAAAAAAAATTATATATGCAAGATATTTTCTTAAATTGTGATTGTAAGAAGTATGAACACAACAATAAGCTGATAGAACAATGTAAACTGATTCACATCTCTTCCAGCACAGTATATACTCAAAAGTGACCTACAGCCACAGTAAACAAGTTTTGCATACTCCCTCAAGGTATGCCACATCAATCTTTGCCACAGAGGATTTTTTAAGTTGTTAGTAATATATCTCAGATAACTCACTTTTATTTGTGATAAAGAAGCAAGCAGCCCAACAGGAGCTTAACTGATAAAACAGTGTCAGAGTGAAACCATTTGTCAAATAATAAGCCAAGTTGAAACATGGGCCGCAGAAAATAGATGGATCTGGTACAATACATTAACCGACAGAAATAACTGAGAAGTAAACATTTTGTACTCTGCAGTAACGAAAAGTATTAGGAGCTCTACACCACAGCATCTTGTAGGAAACCAAACCCCCCCCCCCCACAAACTCTTTAATTTGTAGCTGGGGTAACTGAATTAAACACCAATAAACACACTTTACACCTGGATATTTACAACTTGCCAGAGGGGGCAAAAACACTGGCACACACGATATAGTCTAACAAAAAAAAAAAACCAAAACAACTTATGATAAAGAAAAAAAAAAAAATACTATAATATATATATTTATATATATATATATACACACACACACACACACATACGGTTATATATAAAACATACTAAAATATATTTAAAAAAAAAAAAGAAAAAAAGAAAAAGCCTGTAAATTAAATACAGAAGTAGTTAAAAATGAGATTGTACCTGGAGATATTCCAATACAGCAGATCGCCAGTGTACAGAAGAGCATTCCACGATTTTAGTCCATGTGTAGTGTCTGTGTCTGCTCCATTCACAGCCTGCTATGCATATACACACTCTCACTGGTTCTTTAAATCTAACCTTCCCTCAGACTGTACTAAGGATTTTAAAGTTTGCCTCCTTCTCCCTCCCCTTGTATCAACTCCACCCCATTTAGTAATTAGGCTTAACAAGAGCAATTAACAAAACAAACTCTTTTGGCCAGCCGGCCAGATAATTCTCATTGCCAAATTGTTTTAAGATGTGCAACAGTTTGTATAGACTGAGTGAAATCAGAAGGGAGAAAAAAAAAAAAAAAAAGACTGTACAATAGCAATCCTGCTTTATATGAATTTAAAGCCACATGTCTTGTTTGTCTAAAAGTGAGTGATCAATGGCTTTCTGGGGAAAATCACCAACTAGTAATTATCACCGTGTATTGGACTGATTTTAAATATCAAACAGAGATTTGAGAGGCTGTATTACACATTTTAGATTATATTCGTGTGCTACACTTAAAGAGATTACCAAGTTTACTGTAAACAGCAACAGAGTTGATCATATAAGATTAATCACACAAGCAAATGTAATTATAGAATACTTAAAAACGTATTTATAACTTTCATCCTATATACAAAGGGGCGTTAGAACGTTCAGGAGATATGGCTTACATTTTTTTTAAAAATGTATTATAACTTGTATGCACACATCGGGGGCACAGCTAAAATAACCCACACTTTTACCCAATATACGAGAAAATTAAAAGAGTATGAATTGAAGTGATCAGATTTGCAAATTTTATTGAGTAAAAGAAAAACATAATTTGTGGACAAATGTAGAAGAATACATTTTAAGTGTTAGATTATATTTTGAGATAAAAAAAAAAATTATGATAAGTCATGTACAATATAACCTAATAAACCCAATATTATAATAGGGAGTTTCGGAACTCATATTACATGAACAAGTTATGTAAGTATGCTCTTTTATTTAACTATCCGTTTATCCAGAATTGTATGTAGGTCAGCCAGATCTAATTTTCCCAGAATGCACAAGGAAAATGGATTTTGCTGGGCAGCATTGCAAATCCAAGCCGTCTTACTGGATGAACTTTATGGGAGTTGAAGATTCTATATTTTATAAATGCAAGAATGTTTCTTTATGATCCGGAATAAACAATTATATTAAAAATCTTTTATATATATGGCCAGTCACGTTTAACCCTTTACACGCCAGAGCAGCTTTCACTGGTGTTTACTCAGCATGGGGATAGTTTTGAGCATTTTACTATATTTGACATTGTATATTAAAAGAAATAACCAAAAACAAACACAGCTTCCCGCCTCAAACTGTGCACTGATCGTTTCAACACATTCCTTTGCTGCTGCAAGCAATCTTTTTCAAAAACTCAAGAAGATATTGAATATAGTCCCTGAGCAAGATATCAGAAGCCATCATAAATGGCTACATTTGTTCTTGTTCATGAATGAAGCCGGTTGTGGTGGCAGCACAGACTATCTGTAAACCAAGAGAGTTCGTAAAAAGGTGGGGAAGTCTTAATTCATGGCCAGTACAATTACTTGTACTGGTCGTTCCTCTCTGCTGTGATAGAGCAGAAGTGTGAGTATATTGTTGCATCTATAAATGAAACAATGCAATAAGACAGGGAGAGTGGCCTTTTTTTTGCATTATAAACCATGCAGAGAGCACAGCTTGCTATTATGATTCTAGGGATTCTTTAAATAATGCAAATCTATGCAGTCATGGAACATTTGCATACATGAAACAATAGCATACAAATTAAGAGACACAAAAATTTAAATAATATCGGGAAAATGCAACCTAAACCAGGCTTGCGTACTAAATGATCATTTTGACGATGGAAATTAAGTAAATACATAAATAAGCAAATGCAGCCATTTGTGTAAAAATTGCAAGGCTCCAATGACCTTCTTAGAATATGCCGTTTTTCCTGCTTTTTCACCATGCCCGGTTTAATATGACAATGTATACATAAAGTTAGGCCCACCCAGTTCTTCACAATCTGTAAGAAAAGACTTGCAGTTGTTGTTTTGTGAAGGACAGACAACCCAATGAACTTGTTGAGCTGAATGTTAAAGACATTAACATAGCCTAAATGACTCAATATTAGTGCAGTGTTTCATCGCATTGAGATGTGGTGTGGTGGAATGGTGTGAATGGAACGAATCCCTTCACCAAACATTTAGGGGAAAGCCCCCCCCATTCATTTAAATGCCCATGATTTTGGAATGACAAGTTTGTTGAGCAGGTGATGGCATGCTTTAGACCATCTTGTGTAGCTTTAATGGTTGGAAGCCCATCTCACAAGAAAGACATGCCCATTTGTCTTTTAGCATTTGTGGTGGGTGGGTGGGGGGGGGAGAATTATAATTTTTTTCTTTTTAATAATATCTGGAACAATGTTGCATAAAAGAGCCAAGGTACCAACAAGTAAATCTCACTTGGTCGATGCAAATGAAACCGCTGTAAAGGCACAGAAATGTCATCCTACTTGATGTAAATTGGTCACTTAAAAGTCTAGAACAAGATGGATACCAAGCAACCAGGGATTCTAGTCATTATTTCTATTATTTAACAAATTTCAAAGACCCCCCACCAAAAAACAAGTTGAGAATGGATGAGTGTAAAAATCACAGCCATGAAACAAAACTCTAATTTAGAAAACAAATATTCATAAGGCTGTTTTCTATTAAAAAACATATAGAAATGCTGGCCAACTTTCAGTGTTTACCTTTTGTTTTTAAACTGCTTGTTTAGCTGCTCCCATTACCTTTCACTGTATTCCCCAATTTGTCTGTGCTCTTGGCATCTCAGTCTCCCATTCCACTTGTGAGCAAATGAATGACGGGTTGACACTGCTGTGCCACCTGTTGGCATTCCTACCATAGCTTGTAAGGTAATTTCATCTGTACTAAAAACACAGTTCCAGTAGAGGCGTGAGAAATAGCATGAAGTTTAACAATTCTAAAGATAAAATCTACTCTAATTTAAGTGGATTACGTTAATGCGTGTGCCCTACTCCCCATGATCTCCAGTTTACCATCAGGACTTTTGTTGGTGTTTGTTTTGTGTAATGTGCTAGTGAGCAATAAAGTCAGTTCAATGTGTTTAACGTTGGTGAAGTATACATTATGGATCACACATTTAATCATAAAGTATTACTTTAATATCATGGCGTACAGTTCGTATTAGACTGAATTAGGAAGGATCCATTATCATGCTTCATTTGTTTTACTTTGATAATGCCAATTGCATAACAATATGGGTAGTTGTCACATTCATTTGTATGAACACACAAAAAGAGACAGCACCCAAGTTTAGAGTCTATAATGTAGAAATATAAATTTGCCAGTGTAACACCTATGTGTTGGCTTTTCTCCATAATGGAAAGCCCAGGTAACAAAATTGGATTGGATTTTACTTTACATGTGTATGCACAGACTGGCTTCAAATTGAGAAGGTATCTGATGAGCCTCTCCAGTTTAAAAAACATGTTATACATCTTAAGGATGCTAACCCCATCAATAACCTTTGGCTGTACTTTTGCAGAATATAGAATTGAAATGAAAGTATCTGCTCAGATAAAATATTGGGCACATAAGATAGGGCAATTTGTCACAGCTCATATTAACCTCTGATGAGGCGTTTTTGAAAATTTAGAACAAAGTTTTCAAAATGGAGAAAGCTCATTCCACTGGTACCCATGTGGACATATAAGTTTTAGATCCGAATTGCTTTTTACATATTGCGTTTCTAAAAAGTGTTTCTATTCGTAGAACAATAATACATGGCCATTTAGATACAACATTTTCAACTATGTTGTATGGTAAAAAAAGAAGCAATCTTTTTCATTAGTTTTACACATTAGCAGTTCCCAAATTCATAACGGATTACTCTTAATTTTATGCCCCGCTGAAAAGAAATCTACTCCAATAAAGAGTTTCAAAAGTCTTCCAGGATGTTCTGATAACAGAATATTGATGCTTGATGTTTGTTGTGTCTATATTTTTCTTTTTTGCAAATGGAGATTATTTCTCAATGCTATTATACTGGTCTGTGTGTCTGTTGTTCGTTTGACTATGCAAATGATCGTGTTTCCCCTTAATTTGAAGCTAACCACTGTCAAACACACACAATTAACTTGAATAGGCATACGCTCCTCTATTCTACTCCAATTTAGCCATACAAGCGTGTGCACACAGACACACTTGAATGCAAACTTCGGCACATGGCCATTATGGAGTTTCAATTAAAGAAACACCTCTATTAATCTTTTCAATTAAGTGAATGCACCACATGACACAAGCCAAAGCAACAAGCCCATATGCTGTGCTCCAAATCATCCAAATATTAAAGCCCCTTTAATTGATTTATCTAAAGAACATTCAGCAGATTCAAATTGGCAGCGAGCCAGTAAGTCCCAGGAGAACTTGACAGAATAGTGGATTTGAAGTTATTCTTTTACTCCTAGATTTATAAATAAATCTAACCCTCAATTTTAATTTTTTTCCCTAAAGAAAAAAATAAAGAAGCAGTTACATTACCTATATCAAATACGGTTGCAAACGCACTTCCTGAATTTTCTCAAACAGAAAAAAAAAATATTCCAGTATCTGTACAATTTTTCATCATCGCTCATTTGAAAGTAGCATATATATATATTTTGCAAGTCAAGTCTGTAAATATTTCCGATTTATGCTCACCGAAGAGCTGTGTGCAGTCTGGAGGAAAACCCTCCTTATCCCAGCTGTAGTTAAGAGAGTCACTGTGTTATGGAGAGCATAACACACAAGAGTGCATTTTTCCAGCAGAAATATTTAGCTTGGCTGCTAGCCAGAGAATGCTGGAAGAATAGACTGAATTAGGGGATTTACCTTCCACGTGCTTGGCACGCGTCATTAGAGACTCTCAGGCAGAGAGACTGAGTGGAGAAAGAGTTCTAGCCTGCCAAAACATTATTATGCAGGTGGCAC